TGTGTGTGTGTGTGTGTGTGTGTGTGTGTGTGTGTTGGACAGTATGTCCCAGGATGTTCTCAAACTCCTGGGCTCAAGCAGTCCTCTTGCTTCAGCCTCCCAAGTAGCTGAGACTATAGGTATGTGCCATGGTACCCTGGTACAAGTCTCAGAACCTTTCCTTGTGACCTTTTCATTTAAGTATAATAGAAAATGAGGTGAGAATTCATGTAGCTGTTACAGAACGGAAATTATGACCCAGAGCGAAGATGCTACTCTCCTGTCTCATAGGTGAAAAAAACCGAGTCTCAAAGATTTTCTAGGCTCAAATGGAAAGTTTGCAGTAAAGTTAGAATTTAAATTCAGCTCAGTAGATCTAAATTCAGCTGTAGTATATGGTAGGCTAAGCATTAACCTTTATTTTTTAAAAAACTTTTTATTATAGAAATCTTAAATACAAAAAAAAAGAGATAACACTTAACATTTTGCCACTGCTTCTTCTACACCTCCATACAAATTTTTTTCATAGTACTGTGGTACCTTGATTTATGAACTTAATTTGTTTTACGATTTTGGGGCTGATGGCTATGTTTGTGCTTGTTGTATGGGGAAGATGGCCATGCTTATGTTTGTCTCCCAATGCAGAGTTTGTGAACAGAAGCATAATTTTGCTGAACACTTTTGTTTGTGAACTGAATTTTTTGCGAGCAGAAGTATCCATGATCCAAGGTGTTACTGTTAAAGCAAATCCCAAATGTGATACTCTTTTGTCCATATGTATTGCTGGATGAGCACTGACTTGCAATTTAGCTGAATATAACTATATTAATGTTAAATAGCCTAATTTTATTCCAAGAGCAGTCATGACATGACATTCCACAGATTATCATGTATGAGCAGTCATGACATGACATTCCACAGATTATCATGTATATCTGCTGTGGAAATGTAAACTTTTGGGGGACTGTTTGTTATGATATGGAAGTATTTTGTCTCTGACATATCTTTTCTTAAGACATTTTAATGTGATTTGTAGAAATTTAGCCAAAGGAAACGATTAACTAATTATATACTTTTGATAAATACTGTTTTTGGAAAACAGGTGCTTTCATGAGTATCTGCTTCAAACATATTTAAGGAAATTTTAATGAAATACCGATTTTCTAGTATGTTCCTTCCATTTTTCTTCCGTTTTTAATTTTTTGCAGTCCTAGGGATGGAAGCCAAGGCCTTGGCACTCTGAGCTTCATTCCCAGCACCCAACCCCTGCAGTATTTACAGATCATCATTTGTGTGAGTTAGAAGTGTAAACATAAGGTGTTTCTTTTGACCAGGTGGGATGTGTGCACATACGAGGGCAGTAGAGTGCTGTCCCTTCAACCCCTTTTTTTTCAACCCATTTTAATTTAGTTTAATTTTTTATTTTGAGATTGGGACTCACTAAGTCGCTAGGTTGCCTGGGGTGAACTTAAACTTGCCTTCCCCCTGCCTTACCCTCCCAGAATCCTAGGAGTAGAAGCATGTGCTTCTGGCCCAACTTCTGTTTTAGAGGAAAAGATTGTTCCTTCTCTTCTCACACCAACCTTAACAGATATTTCCTGGACATTATTCACTTTTCCATCCTATCAGCCACCAGCTCTTCAGTTCTGCTTTATTAAAAACAACAAAACAGAACAAACTTTCCTTGATTTTGTTTCCTTGATTTTATACTACTGCATATATGAATACCTCTGCTGACTCCCTCTTCTTTGTTGGCCTCAGGGAAAGGCACAAATTCTTTAGTTTGAATGGAAGATTCTTTAACTTTCTCTCTCAAATATGTTTCTATTCTCAATTGCTGCTTATCCCAAATACTCTGGTTGTTAATTTGCAATAATAATTACATCAAGCTGTATACTCACAAGGTTGTCACACTGGGGTGTAACTCGTACAGTACTGTATACCACCTCAAAGTTCACAACTAGACCTTCTCATGCATCATTGCTTAATTCAGTTCAACAAATACACCAAATTTGTTCCAGGCTCATTTTCCAAACCTTTGTATATTTTGTACTGTTAAACCACTTGCACTTGAATGATATCATAATTTAATGCATGAAAAGTTTTGTTCACGGGAGATACATTTGCTTTTTTATATGACAACGTTAAAATTATTTGTAATTTTCTATGCTAAATTAATTTAGCTCAGACTACTATCTAATTTTTTTTTTGTATTTGTCTTTTAGGGACAGTATGGAAATTACCAACAGTGAGAGTACTCACATTCCAGTAGCCAGTACTTCCTAGCAGCCATATTGTCACCTCAGCACTGTGGCCGCCTCCCTGTGAAGAGATCCTTCCATTCCGTCTAGTTTTTTGGAAAAATCTTGTGGATAAGTGGCTGTTTCATCTTCAAGTAGCCTTTGTGGTTTAGTTGTAAAGGCTTTAGTAGCTCAAAAAATACTCTTGATTTCACATTTCTACTCTAGATGGCAACATTGGACAGAAAATGCAATGACATAACTAATTTGCAGTGATTTTGGAACTGTGTTTCAAATGGACTGTTACCGACTGGAAGGTGTGAACAGCTTTGTATGTTTATGGAGGTTAAGGGAATTTAATACTTTTCCACATATTCTTTTGTAAGGGGATGAGGGAAATGTACACTTTTTACAGCAGCAATATTTTGTATATTATGTTTATTTCATGTGTTGAATATGCAAGGCGGTACACTACGCACTGGACAGAATGGGAAATCCTCTATTAATGTGGACTGAAGTGTAGTAGATGGCCTGATTGTTTTGGTCTCAAAATGGTGTACAATGAAGCTAAAGGTGAGGGAGAAGACAAAAACACACCATATGTCCACTGTCATGTTCTTATAGAGGAAACTTAAATCCCTTTTATCTGTCAGGTGATGAAGGGCACTGTGATACTGTTTTGAGTAAAAATACATTTTTTTAAAAGCCTTCCAGTTTTGTGGATTAAAACCTTTTTATAAAGATCATTTATAATACTGTTTTAAAATGTTAAAATGTAAGGCAATAAGAATTACTTTATGTTGGATCTGAAGAATCTTTAGCACGTTTCATGTAAAAAGAGTTGGAACTTTCCTTTCTAAGATAGCAATAACTGAAAACAAAAGTGTTCATTTTATCTTGTTTTAATAATCAGAAGATCTAGTATATAACATTAAAAAACATTTTATAAATAATTTTAAAGAAGAGTCAACATTGATCCAGTAATTTTATTTTTTAACATTAGCAGGATAATTGGTTTATATAATAAGATAGTAATTCAGGAGACTTTACAAACCTTTATTTCAATTTTCTTAACTGGAAATAATGCCATTATAAAGGAACATTCTTATATTTTTTTCCCTTTTTTATGTTGGTTAATATAGCCCAAAGAAATGGTTAGTATAATGCTTATTGATGAGGTTTATTCTGATCTATATTAAAAACGTAGAGGTTGCATTTTAGATCTCCTTGTTTATAAGCATGACATATTTAATCATTACTTGAGACTGTCCTGTGCCTGATTATTTAGTTAAATTCAGGGATAATGCATTGGGCAGCAAAGCATGCATTGAGAAATTTCTAACCACAGTTATTTAAGCATAATCTGAAAACATCTAGCCCTAAGGTAAGTTGCTGTTTCCATCGCAGTTGCCTGTCCCCAGGGAATAAGATGTAGTCTTCGTAATTGAATTGGTCTTTCCCGCTTCTAAGTGGAAACAGCAGAAGGGGTGCCATAAATTTGAATAAGCAGAACATAGTGTTCTCAACATACTGTAATCAAAAGTGGGAATTTCAATGTGTCTGTGTGTGTGTGTGTGTGTGTGTGAGAGAGAGAGAGAGAGAGAGAGAGAGAGAGAGAATGTGTGTGTCCTAAGATCAGAATAGGGTCTTTTTCAACTTGTTCAGTAGAAAATGGACATCAGGTTTGAACAGCTAAAGCATGGACAGCCTTATTGTGATTGAAATGCTGAGAGATTCTGTGCCAATTTTCCACCACTGTGTACTTTGTTGCTATTTAAAACTGTATCAACTCTAACAAAGAATAAATTATTTGTGATTTTAATTTTCTCATTTGTTTCTTTAAATTAGATCTGTTTGACTCTCTTGTTTTGTCTGGAGACTGTGCTGTGGGTTTTTGTATAAGTTAGTCCAGTATAAGCAGACTATATTTGTATTCTAGGACTTTATCAAAATTCTCTTGCCATGCCCAAGTTAATTAGAATTAACTGTTCAGTAATCAGCATGTTGTGTAGGCTGTTTGTTACAGAACTCTTTCTCTGAAAATGAAGTCCATGAGGCTATAATCAAGATGACTGAATTAGATAAATGAGTTGAGACAAAATTGTACTGAACCCAACCTAGTGTAGATACGTTATCTCATTTGAAATAAGCTCAACTGACATTAAGAAATAATTTGTCTTGCCAACCCATCTTCTGTTGTCTTATTCTCCTTTTAATGGAAACTAAAATTGCAATTTTAATAAGCAGAATTTCCTCCAGGACTTTCTTCCTGGAGACTACTGCATTTGCAAGGTTTAATTGTTTTATAACAGTCCTATTTCGTAAAAGTTTTTAATTGGTGGTGACAAAAATTACCTTACTCCTTTGATACCTGGTAGGAAGTATAACTTTAGCAGTAGCTTTCTACCAAATTTGACGTTTCCATACAATCTATATTCTGAAACTAAAAGTTTCCTTTTATCAAAATGTATTATAGTGAACAAATATCACTTGATTTAATAGAATTTCCAGAAGTAAAACACTACTAATAAAAATATCGGGGCGATTATTGACAAAATATTTCAAAATACTTGTGGGCTTAGGTTAGTTGTTTGAAATCACAATATTTTTCTGTGGCTTTATTCACGTGGCATTTCTTTTGGTTTTAATTGTTTTAGTGGAATTTTGAAACATGCACAAAAATGAAGAGGATGGCACCATGAGCTCTCCCATTTTCCAGTCATTCAGTTTATTTACTTACAAGTGATAATTTTGTCTACACACCATCTCACACATTGAGGCAAAACCTTTTGTTTAATCCCTAAATATTTCAGTAAGGATCTCTAAAAGCTAAATACTTTTAAGAAACAACACACACACAAAACGACCTTGGACCTTAAGGACTTTTACTGCTCTTGAAATTGTCTTTTCATTGTTAGCACTGAGTTAGAATTGATCTCAGAATCCTTATGTATAAACCAATGGCTTTTATTTAAAAAAGTCATGTTAAATAAAGATTAAAAGAAATATATTACATAAAATGAGTATTTTCCATAATATCATACCTTAAAGGAAACAGTTATTCTAGATTTGGTACATTTTTCTCAAATTGATTTTATGCACATAAGTCACATATATTGTTTTTTTTTAAATAGAATTATATTTTAAACTGCTTATCACCAAATATCTTGAAGTTTCTCTTATTCTTGTGTTGTCTCTAAAGTTTTCTCATTGCAAAACAAAAGCTTTCACAAATTACCTGGCAGAATTGTGTGTGTGTGTGTGTGTGTGTGCGCGCGTGTGTGCGTGCGCACTCGTGCGTGATCTGAGTATTCTATGTAGTACATATTTAATGTGTTAGGTGTAAAGCTGTGGACATTTAAGTGACATTTAAAAAGTAGGGTGACTTCTTAGGTCACCCTAAAAAAGTACGCCCTAAAAAAGTATTAGTGACCAACATCAATTTACTGTATTTATGGATATTTACAATTCTAGCAGATGTTTTTAGGATGTTATTTATTTGTAGGTTGAACATCATTTCAAATGCTTAATGACAGTTTATTTTTTTGGTCTAAACTCCTTTTAGTGTTCTTTATTTCTTTGTTGTGATGGCTGTAGTGAGAAAAGGCCCACCTGTAGTGAGAAAAGGCCCACCTGCACATACATCCAGAAGTGTGCATGGCTCTGTGTGTGTACTAGGCCTCTGTCTCTTCTCTGTGTTGTTGGTGTCTTTCCCGGCCATTACTTCTTAAACTTTGGTTATGATGTCTTTTACTGTATTAAGATTTTCATATAGTAAAAAATTTGTGACTTGCAATCTTCTAACTTGAAAATTTATAAAAATAATCCTTCTATTTGCTTGCATTTTTCTGAAACTTACTGTACATGATATGATTTGGGGGATTTGTGTTTTTTTACATGGATAACTAATTTGAACATCAGTTAATGAATAAACCATTTTTCTTCCAGTGATTTGAGATGACATTTTACTCTTTAAAAAATTATAGTTAAGGCATGTTTTATTTGTCCCATTTCAAAGGCTAGTTAAATTCATTTAAGTATAATTATTTAACTTAATTGCCATAAAATTCTGAGTTGTCTTCCCCCACCCCCAGCAAGGTGGTTTTTTAAATTTAAGAGTTACCTGCAAAGGTATAAACAATGACTAGCTTCTTAGTACTAAGAGAATTATTAAAATGCGTTTTTATATAGAATGACTAGAACATCTTAGACAGTTTTTGTTTGAAATTTAGAAACTCTTCAATTTTTTATGCCTTGCTAATTATCTTTATAGTGCCCCAAACTATTGCTATTGGGTTACTAAGAAAAAAAAATTAAATCAATAGAAAATCTTGTTTTACTCCTTACAAACCTAAGTTTCATAAACAACTTAATATAATTTTTGTTAGTTCAATAATGACATGTAAAAAGTGTGACCATGTAATTTACTGTTCAATCTGGGGAACTTTTGAGAGCAAAAGGGTAATGTTTTATGCACGCATGAATAAATAGAAACGTGTATGTGTGTATTGCATACATATACATATGTTATATATGGGTAAATGTGTATTTTTATATCTTATTTTCCTCGGATATTCGTAGTTTAAAAACTTAAACATGTGAGTGATATTTATGTTCAGGTTGTAATCTTTGTGTTAATAGGCTGAGAGTTTCATAATAATTACTTTCTTTTTGTGATACCAGGGGATGAACTCACGACCTTGTGCTTGTGAGGCAGGCGGTGATGCCACTGAGCTAAATCTCCAGCCCATAATAATTACACTTGCAAAGTAATGTTAAAAATCGATAAGTAAGAAATCCCAAATATTCTAAAATGTTTTCATTATTTATCTGTGTCAGGAAACACTAATTTTCTCTTTGTTTAAAGATAACCCCGTGTCTTGGGTGGCTGCCTACTTATAGACATTTAAAATGCTATTTTATAGCTTTGTGTAGTCACATGACTTAATTTCAGGCCAGTAGGATGTAAGCTGAAGTGATGTGTTCAGCCTCTAGATCCCATTCATAAAAGCGTTTTTTTCTGTTTCCTGTGAGCTTGGGACATGGCCTGTTGTTGGGGAGCTTTGGTCTTATAGATTTTAAAAATACTCTATAAAGAATTGCAGTGCAGGTAGAATCAGAAATCCCCAAGTGAGCTCATGAAGCTACTCTTCTTCATATCAGCTTGGACTTTGACATGAGAGAAATAACACTTCTATCTTAGTAAGCAGTTCATTGTAGCAGCAAAGCCTATACCTCCAGTATAGGTCCTGTAGTAGATGGCTAGTTCGTACTACCCTATGATACACGCTGTAATAATCATACATTTCCGTGTATTATGTATATAGTTTACAGTCATTTAGTTTATGTTCTTGTCTAATGAAATTTAAAAAGTTCTTTAATATTTTCTTTCAAGATAATTCCAAACTTTCCATCATTTGAATTGGAATACCTCATTTAATAACAATAGATTTTATTAATTTAAAAGTATGGGTAAAATTTACTAATTATAATTTTTTTGCATCTATCAAGTTAAAAAATTTTTTGTAGCATATTTTCTATTTTATAGAGAATTGTATAAGTAGGATCTTGTAAAATCAAGTTATTTTGGTTTCTATGACTAGCTTGGTCTAGCTTTTTTTCTAAACGTTTCTTAATGTTTTCTTAATTTTCTGGCTTTCATTGTTGATATGTATACTTTGGATCTAGATTTTGTGCCAACTTTTCCTCGAGAAAAACATATATTAAAAGCATTTTCAACTTTTACCTATAGTGGTTCTAATTATTTATCCTGGGTTAAATTTAAATAACATGTAACTATAATGGCAACAGGAGGTATTTTTTAATAGTTATTTTTCATATACTAATTTATATACTTGTAACTTTTTAGGACTCTGATATGGCCTGTTCTATCAGTATTGCTGTGCTA